TCTCGTGGTTGTAATTTATTAAGTCACCAAACATATTCCCACCTATCATAGCTGTATATTTGCCTGGGAAATTCGTCACAAATATTTATTTATTTATTGTACGTACGAAAATCGTTAACAGACCGGCAAACAGCGGATGCGAAGGAGACTTATGCATTTCTCACTTGATTTTAAACCGCAGCTTTTGACCTTCAGAATCGAGAGGTTCTACCCGTGACGTCACAGGAAAGATGGCGAATGTTTCGAATTTGGAAGAGCTTTCACAGGGTGAAAATGGACAAATTATACCTTTGCTGTACATTATATATTTACTAAACAGCTACGTGAACAGAAAATGTACGTTCTTAGGGTTTTCATACTCTTTAAACCTTTATACCCTAAAGTCTGTATTCATATTCCACATACTGTTCTGTATACATTCGTTATGGTACTGACTAGAAGAACTTGCCGATCATTTCTTTTACCTTCATGACCTTAATGTTTGATTCAGAGGAGAAATTAGATGCTGGCCACTCTTTGAGGTTAGAGTATTAAGGTCGCGAATATGAGTATCAAAGCTAACACTTAAAGATGAAGTACAGCTTTGTGAATTGCTGTTAAATTAGTAACACTCCTTTCGCGCCCCCCTTGCATTGGTTGTTGTATTTACTAAAACATACATTGGTGCTTACCTTAAAGTTTTAATAAGCTCAGGCATGATGGGTACAAAACCAAGTGCACCAGAAATTCCATAAAGGAACATTGAAAGAATAACCAGCCAAATCGTCCTGCAAGAATAGCGGGATCGAAGAAGTTTTATCATTAATATAACATAACATTTCTCAAAGGTGACTGAACCTCAGTTCTGGAGATAGCCGTAAAACTTGATAATCACAACTACAAATATGTGTCGGATCGCAGGTTCATTGACCTCTGAAGTTTTTGAAAATGTACAAATTGCTAAGGACAAGGATTACTTTTGGAAAGCTTCAACCGGTCACCAGAATTTTCTCGGTTTATTAATTTTGTTGACATATTTCCGATACTTTTGATTTTAGTGTAAAGTAGTGCGAGCTTTAGACATTCACCTCTGACGAGTTATTTATATCTTTTTCTTAATTCCTGAACACAGACCCTTTCCAAAATGTCGAGATAATAAAGGTTGTTTTGGCTCTTTAACATTGTTTAGGACACAGTATTTACTTTAGTGGATAGAAAAAAATTTAATACAGTTTGCCACGTATGCAGTAAAATGAGAACCAACCCTTTTTTCTCGTAAACCATTGGGTCTTCATACAGCGAGACCCGCAGAATTGCTAAATAAGATGGCTCACGGCTCTGATCAACATTTTGTTAGCCTACCTATACCCTCCCTTGAGGACATCACTGGTAAGTAAATATGTATCAACTTGGTGTTTGGTTTATATAACGTTGTGGGTTAATTGATAGCGTGCTCGACCACGGGTCGAGGGTCTGGGTTCGAGACCTCTGGCCTGGTCACTATCTTGAGTTCTTGGGCCAGAAAGACACGAGTTTGAATTCCGTCCACGCCTGAAACTTTGACAGGCTTATCTGCTGCATTCGCTTAAAGTTTCAGCTTTCTTAACTAGCACTTTAAGCTAACATGATTATAATAATATGCAGAATGATCAGTACACATACTTAGCTGGTAAAAACGTAAGAAATGGAGCAGGTCCCAGCAACAGATGTCCAATGACAAAACCAATAAAACCTACAATTATCATCGTTCGATAACATTTCTGTGAAGAGATTTGTTAAGAAACATGGAATTGCATCAAAATCATGCTTTTATTTTTAACTCATAGCACACCAAATCACGCGAAGAAAGGCTGGTAACACGAGTTGTAAACAACACAGCTGGCAGAGCGCATGACTTTTTCTCTGAGGTGACGACTCAAGTTGACAATTGAATTAACGGTAAATCGGAGGTATAAATGGTAACTTTCGTCTTTAGAGGACCTACAAATATCGAAGCAGAAAATATTTGGAAAGACACTTCACAACTAGACATCGCCAAAAGTTACTATTTTTCCCACAACATTCTTTAATGTTTACGATCCATTTCATGCACTACACCCCATTCCCCAATCCCTCAGAAAGACACTTTCGATGAGTAGAATTGTACCCTGTTGGTCACCAAGATTAATCTCGTGAGCCTAAGTTTGAACATTTCCTTACGCACTCCATAACGCACTGGAAACCCCGCCCTGCCCCCACCTATCACAAAAAAATTCACAAAAGAAGTCTTTGTTACTATGCCAAAGAGAAAACTTACCGTTTTATCTCCTATGCAGCCGACTACTGGTGCTAGCAGGGCGTAAGTCCCAGACCAATAAAGAAAAGCAAGACCAATCTGTGTTGGATTTTGATCCATCTGTGAAGTGAATAGATTCCATCCATTGAAAACCTTACAAAATGGACAATTAAGTTCAGCTTTTAAGACAGACGAATCTAAGAGTTTGGCGAACTCAATTTTCCAAAAGGAACACGAGCGTTTCTTAGCCCGCGATAAAGTCTGAGTTCTTTGGAAAAGCAAGCCGGCCAGCGGTATGTTTGAGGTCTGCCAGATCCCAGCAAACCTCTCCCCAACTCGTCTCCAATCTTCCCGCCTGCAGAGAAAGGCGCGTCCTGCAGCGCTAATAATGAGGGCCTGGTCGCAAGCTAAATTCGATTGAATGTCACATAACGGAAACCAAAATAGTCACAATTCCAAATCAGGAAAAAAAGAAAATTACACGGAGCTAATAAGGAATTGAAAATACAAAGGAACCTTTGTGAAGGGCGGGGAAACGACAATGACCAAGTCGTAATAAGTTTTAGTTCTGCCTCCAAATGGTTGGCGTGAGTTTACTGGATCACAACAGAAAAATAAACAGAACTAACGAAATCCTGGAGTATTTTCCACATTCACTAATG